GACTGCATAAATAGAACATCATTTCTTTAGTGGATTTATACAATAATTCATGTAAACACAGTTATCAAAGCTGCTCATTAGATACAAAATAAATTTACTAAGAAATCATCCTTAAGAACAAATGTTATACATTACATGAACAATAAAAACATTACCTTATTCTCTTTGTAGCAACTTAAGTCAGAAATGCAATACTCCTTGAACAATTTATCCCAGTACTTCTTTGCTAGCGTTTTTGCCCAGTTTTTATCGTCTTCATCTGTATCACTCCACAGAAAGCGGTGATTTTCATGGATCACATTAATATCGGTTTTATCCTTTGACCTAGAATAAATTTCTAGCAGTAGTGATTTGATGACGACAATAGAATAAGATGCTGCCTTAAAAAATTAATGCGAACCCTAGATACGAGGGGGCAACTGTAATGCAGTATTAAGGTTCAATAATATACATATAATAACCATTGGAATTTGTTTATAGATACCCTTCACCTGTTAAATGTCTCAAGTTAGCTTGACAACTTTTACTTTATAAGTATAGTCAATAATTACTTACGTATCTCGCTGAAAAAGTTTAGTTGCCCCAGGGTAATATAGAATGTAGTTATTAACAAGCTGCTTGTGTCTTGCATACTGAGGTAAGCGTTAAAGAAATTAATACGAAATAAACAATTCTCCTTCAGTTCATTATCAATCATCCTAACTATCACAGTTTTTCCTCCCTCATGACCATCATCAATGGGACACTTTCCAACTTTCATTGTCTTTCCTCCTTTAGTTCATCATCAATCTTCCCAGCTTTCCCAGTTTTCCTTCCTCATGAACACCATCAATTGAACACTTTCCAAAATTCATTGTCTTTCCTCCTTTAGTTCTTCCTCCCAACTTTCAAAGATTTTCCTCACTCTTTAACAGCGAACACTATCAAGCAGATATCAATTTCAATGTCTTTTCGCCTTCAGTTCATTATCAAACTTGCTCAACTTTTACTGTTTTCTGTTCATTGTCAATCCGCCATACTGTAACTTTCTTCACTGTCTTTAATCCTCTAGTTCATCATCAATCCACCACAACTTCCTCTGTCATTTCTTTTTCAGTAACTTTCACTATCCTTCCTCCTTCAGTTCATCATCAAACCTTTAAAATTTCAATCTGTTTCCTTTCAAGTCTTTTTCCTTGTAATATAGACTCCTTACTAGTGCATACTGTACATCTCCATTTCTATACCGTAGAAACTCAAATTGAGGCCCTGGGCTGCTACTTTTTTCTTTTGCGAACTTTGGATGGGCTTCTTTTCAAGGCTCCTTTTGCCAAATAAAGAGGGGCCTTCTTTTCAAAATAAATACTGTAAATTTTGGGAATTACTACTTAAAACTATAAATAGGGCCACTGTAACATCAATCTGTATCATTTAGTGTATTAACCAGTATTAAATCGCCTAAAATACTGTAAAAACCATGTGCTTTTTTAATATATTTTGTTTCTTTGAAATTCATGTACAGTGGATGGATTGTACTATCTCGAAAAGAAGCCCATGGGCTTCTTTTCGAGGCTATTTTTGCAAACTGAAGAGGGGCTTCAATTCAAAATGGGCTTCTTCTTGAGATTAAGCCCATTGGGCTTCAATTCAAGGTTTTATGGTATTTCATCTCTAACATGACATAGTGACACAAAATAATGTTCCCTTTCGCAAATCAGTCTATCTTATATTTCCTCATCAGGTCAATTTCCAGGTATTCACATCAAACAGTAATAATAATTATTCTCTGAGGTCTATACACTTTCGAACTATAAAAAGGATACAGCATCAACAGCAAGGAAGTGAAACCTATAGTTCCTATGCTCATGTCTGTCAAAAAAAATAAAATACAGTTATCCGTAATACAATTAAGGAAAAACCGAAAATTATGGTAAATATTTCTTATTTTATATAAAGAAAAAAAAATTTCATATTTCCTATATTGCAACTAAATTAAAATACAGTAGCAGTATTAAAATTATATATTTTTTATGTTAAAATTAGATAAATTCAATTCAATTCACTTTATTTGATAATCACCTCAACAAGTAGGTATGATAAAAAAGACATTGGTTGTACAATAAAACAGCAAAGGTGTGTCATCAACCCCATCAGGTTGGAGTCTCGTACGCTTTTCATGACAACCCATAATCACAAACTTGTTTCGACTGCTGATATATTTTGGAAATGTTGATTCAATTCAAGTTGGGTAGACAACTCATTTCTAATATCATGGTAGTGTAAATGGGGCAGTAAATAAAATCAATCCATTTCACAAAACTATTTCAACTATGCTTACTATTATTATGAAATATATGATAACTGTTACTAAAATATACACTATAATATTATTTTTAACATACATACTTTGTATATTCTGAAGTCAAGATTGATTTTGATGGAACACCACTTGTTCTCTTTCTTGTTTCTTTTTCTGCTAAGTCATAACGCTGCCTAGAAATGTAGTATAGGATTAGACAACCAAAAATAAATCATAAAAAATTTATAAATGAATAACCTTTAAGCTTTAGAAATAATTTTTACTCATCACCCAACTCAAATTATCTATTTCGATGCATACTTACTGTATAACAATTAAAATTCATCAAAGGTGCAGAGTGGAGAATATTCCTGAAATACTATCTATTTCGCACAATAAAACTCAACTAGGTCATACGAGGTTAACATTCTAGTCCAGGTAACATGTTTTGAGTTGAAGCACATTGCATTGCTTTCCTTAACTTTGCATGGTCCAATTCTTAATATCGCCTTTTTTATTGTTTATTTATTTCTATTTTGGCTTGGTGTTCCCAACCCAATTTTGCTGTACTTTAAATGTTAATCACATTTTGTGCAATGCTTGGGATTTTTTTTTTTTTTTTTTTTTTTTTTTTTTTTTTTTTTTTTTTTTTT